ACCCTCTGTCACTGTGAAGCCATTCCCCCTTGTTCTGTCACTCCAAGGGACTCGTCCAAAGTCTCTCTCCAGTGCTCTTGGTGATCCTTTAAATCCTTTAGTATTACAGATTTTTCATGACACATACTGCAAATCATTTTGACAGAATACCCTCACGCCCTCTAAGCAGTATTTTAAGTGTCACGTCCACTTGTTCTTTAAACACTTCCAGGAATGGTGACTCAAACAACTGCCATGGGCAGCCTATGCCAATGCCTGACCACCTTTTCAGTGAAAAAATTTTCCTCAATATTCAACATGAATCTCCTCTGACACAACTTGAATCTCTTTCCTTTTATCCCGTCGCATGTTAAGTGAGAGGAGAGACTGAGCCCCACCTGGCTATCATTGCCTGTCACAGAATTGTAGAGATCTGATCCTGCCAGGCACGGCCGCGGGGCCTCGGCCGCCGCATTTCATAACCCAGAGTGAAAAGTCGGTGTCTCCCAAAGTTCCAAACCGAAAGTTCCATAGGCCGAGGACACCGGCAGCCAGCGCAAAGGGCCGGGGTGGAGCCGTGACCCCGCTCTCTCCCTCCTTGCTCTACCCGCCGTCCCTGCGGCTCCCACCCGCCGGCCACCGGCCTCGGCAGCACGCGGTGACACCGCAAGAGGCGTCTGTGCCCCGGGGCCCCGCGGGGCATAGCTCCTGTCCCGCACCGGCTGGGACGCGGCGGAACTCGGCTGCCCCTGAACCCCCGCGCTGGACCCCGGCAGCCCCAGAACGGAAGGGACAGGCGGCCTCGCGCCCCCTCACCTTCCGCCTCCCAACGCTGCAGCGCGGCGGGGCCGCTGCGCCGGGCGCTGCCCAGCAGCTCGGCGGGGAGCGGCTCCATCCGGCCGTCCAGGCGCTCGGGCGGGCCGCGCTGGCGGGCCCCGGCCGCCGCCGCTAGCCGGCAGTGCTCGCCCAGCCCCGGCGGCAGCGCCGCCAGCAGCGCTCTGCGCTGCGCCGTGTCCAGTTCGGCCCAGAACCGCAGCAGATGGCCCTGTCCGCACCGCTCCAGCTGCGCCCGCACCTCCTCCGGCGGGTCCATGACGCCGGGAGCCGGATCTGGGACGTGGAGGGCCCGGGCGGGGCGGCACCGGGCCGGGGCGGGGCCAGAGGTGCCGTCCCGCCCCCCGGAACCCCGCCCCGACGCTCGCGGGTCACGCGCTCCCGGGGCTGTGGCGCTTTCCTCGCTCGGAGGGTCGCGGTGACTCTGGGTTGGCCCCACTCCCGGCCCCGCAAGAACTGCAGCCACCGCAGCGCTTTCCCCAGGGAATCACAGAATAGTCTGAGTTGGAAGGGACCTTCATGGATCATTGAGTCCAACTCTTGGCCCTGCCAGACCAACAAGGTCACACCGTGTGCCTGAGAGTGTTGTCTAGACACTCCTTGAGCTCTGTCAGGCTTGGTGCCGTGACCAGTTCCCTGGGGAACCTGTTCCAGTGCACAACCACCATCTGGGGGAAAAACCTTTTTTCAGTATCCGAGCTGAACCTCCCCTGACACAACTTCAGGTCATTTCCTCAGGTCCTGCCCCTGGTCACCACCGAGAAGCTATCAGTGTCTCCCTCCTCTTCCCCTCAGGAGGAGGTTGTAGACTGTGATGAGTCTCCTCCAGATGAACAGATCAAGTCTCAACCACTTCTCATACAGCTTCCCCTGAAGGCCCTTCACCATCTTTATTGCCTTCCTTTGGACACTCTTCAGTATCTTGCATAATTGTGGTGCCCAAAATTGCCCTCAGGGCTTGAGGTGAGGCCACCCCAGGCCAGAGCAGAGCAGGACAATCCCCTCCCTTGACCAGCTGGTGACGCTGGGCCTGATGCCCCCAGGACACAGATGTCCCTCCTAGCTCCAGGGCACTGCTGACTCACATTCCTGTCAACCAGGACCCCCAGGTCCCCTCCTGTGGCGCTGCTCTCCAGCATCTCATGTTCCAGTCTGTTTGTATATCTAGGGCTGCCCCATCCCAAGTGCAGAATCTGGCATTTTCCCTTGTAGAACTTCATATGGTTGGTAATTGCCAAGTTCTCTAAATTGTCCAGGTCTCCCCGCAGAGCCTCCCTCCCTCTGAGGGAGTCAACAGCTCCTCCCGGTTTTGTGAACTTTGTGATCTGCGAAGTTGTTTGGCTTCCCTTCCAGTCCTGTGTCCAAGTCATTAACAAAGATGTTGAAGAGCACAGGGCCAAGGATGGAGTCCTGTGGATCCCCACTAGTGACTGGTGCCAGCCTGATGTCATCCCAGTCACTGTCACCCTTTGCACCCAACCTGTGAGCCAGTTGCTCAACCATCACGTGATGTGTTTACCCAGCTGAATGCTGGACAGTTCATCTGGAAGGATACTATGAGAGACAGTATCAAAAGCTTTACTGAAATCCAAAAAGATTACATCAACTGGCTTTCCTTGATCAACCAGGTGGCTACCTTGCCATAAAGGAAATTAGGTTTGATAAGCAATTTCATGAAGCCATGCTGACTGTGACCAGTGACTATGTTGTCTTTCAGGTGTTTTTCAGTAACTCCCAGAATAAGCTTCTCCATAGCTTTACCATGCGCTGAAGTGACACTGAACAGGCCTGTAGTCTTCTTCTTGCCCTTCTTGAAAATTGGACCCTGTGGCCAAACCTCTGCTGTACAGTGGCCATGGTCCTGTGTCTGGCATGAGGTGTGTATGATGGGACCCTTGGGTCCTGGTGCAACCTGTGCCAGGAGGTCTCAGTGCCCCGTCTTACATTCACACTTGGGAACATCGCAAGGTCTCAGGGTTCCCTCAACGAAGAAGGAGTTGGATAGTCCCAGCTGTACCCCAGACATGGTGCAGACTCAAGCCACCTGCTCACAAATCCAGATCCCCATTTTTTAAATGAAGTACCAGTGAGAAGGATAAGAGTTAAAACTGCATGGAATCACTGAAGTAGTACAGGACAAATTCAAGGACAAATAAAAGCAATCATGAAAGATGAAGGAATGATGAAGGGTTCTGCAGGAACCAAGAGCCATGAACTGAGAAGCAAAGAGCAGGAGGACACTATAAATCAAACTAAAATGCCAAAGAACAACTTTGTTTAAACTTTGTGCTCATGAGCATAGTAAAATCCTCACCCACAGGCTGTGATTGTCCCTTACTCACAATAGCCATCCTGCCTGCAGTCAGAGCCAAGCTGGGTAGGAGAACATGAGAAAACACACAGCAGCTCAGACACAGCCATCTCCCTGCATGTGACTGGAGTCAGGGAAGCTAGACCCCATCCAGACGTGACCATCAGGAGGAATCCCTGGGAGTTGTCAAAACTTCTGTTTCACATTCTGTTTCTTATTTTATGTTACTTGACAAAGCTCCTGCTCAGAAGAGCCTTGGGGGTTTGAAACTTCTCCCTCTGCTCCCCTTTACATGAAATCTCTCCCTGTTGTGGTTGCATGCCCTGCCTGCCCCGTATGCAAATGAGTACGGGTCTTTCAAAGCACATGATGCCTACATAACCACCATCATAACTTACCCATCAGAAAAGGCTCTGTCAGATCCAACATATAAATCAACTCTTTTCCTGCAGAACTTGCTGCCTTGCCTTGAAGGAATCCTGTCTCAGAGCTGTGGAATCTCAAACCCATCGGATGCTAGAAGAACCAAAGCAAATCATGCTGCTCCTGGCAATTATGCTCCCGCTCCCTAAATCCAGCTATCCACCAGAACAGGTTCGTCTGGCTGCACAGCATCCCCCTGGCTGCTTCTACAGCCCATGGCACTCTGTGTGTAGGTATTTTCTTCTGCAAAGTAATAAAAATGGTGACAGGTTGGATTAGTTATACCAGGCAGAACAACCCCAGTGAACAGGAGCCGGTAGCTTAGGAGAAAAGGAGGCTACGTCCTGTGATAGCTCGAGAGAGATCCCACAGGGATATGGCCCAGTGGACTCTTCCCCTTTATTTGAATAAAGTTGAAGGACTCCTCTGTCTACTTTGTGGTAGACTGGATTTCCCACAGACAACCAATATGTTCCGCAAAGAAATGCAGTTTTACAGTCGTTCCCTGAACAAGGTGACAGGCCGCTGTGACTGCTGTTGCCCTTGGCCTTGGTTCTTTCTTCCCGTATCCTGAGCAGGTGTGAACCTGTTCAGTCAAACACAGCTAAGTCAAGCAAAGATCTCAAACAGATAGGATGGGTCTGGGAAATTAATGAAAAGAAGTGAGTTAAAGAAAATCAGGCTGTGAACAGCTCAGCTGCAACACAGAGAGCAACTGGAGCAGGACCTTGGTGGAGAAAAGCCCCCTGAGGGTCTCCAGAGGCTTCTGTGATTTACCTGGCAGCTGGCAAGGCTGAGTCTCCAAGGAAAAAAGAAGTGGCGAGAATGGAGTGAGAAGCCAGAAGTAGGACAAGGGTGCCAAAGACACCTGGATGAAGTCTGACCTGGACAGGGAATCTGATGGCAAGGGGAGCACAGCAAGGGCCACGTGGATGGGAGGGCTTGAGCCCCAAATAGCTTCCACCCTCCTCCTTCAAAGCCAAGTCAGAGCTAAAGGGAATCATCCCTGGCATGTGGCACAAGGAGGTGTCTGTGGCACAGGAAGATGTCCATGACACAAGCAGTCACACAACCTGAGCACCTGGACAGTGATTCATCACCTTTCCTGGCCATCACCCTTCTCCAGCAGGATTGCTCCCTGACACTCCTCTCAGCATCATGAGCATCAAACCAGGGTGGGGGCTCTGGAGGTGCCAGCATGTGATTACTCGAAGCCCCTTGAGCAAACTGAAGTGCCTGTGGCATGGGAATCATGACACCAGGGCTTTGCAGTCTGCTGTGTTGCAATGGGCTCTGATTGAGGGGATTTGCAGAGAAGGCAGCACCTTGCACTGGGATTAACATGCTGCTTCGTCTAACAGACACAACTGATTTACCAAAATATGGATATGATCTAGTATCAATATCCAACTGAGACGGACAAAGACTCTTTAACCATTTTAGGGTTAAAAAGTGTATGTTTATTAGCAGCTCTGGGCCAGTGCTGGACCAGTGCTGGGTCTCCCCTTAATATGCATGGCCCCAAATACAGGTAAATACAGGCTTTTTATTTACAAAAATATTAAATACAAATGCATATTCATAACCCAGTTGTCACCCACTCTCTGCTTCTTATGCTAATTTAAAAAAAAACAATTAAGCATGTGTAGTTTGTTCTTTGAAATGGGTCGGTGGTCTTATTAGGAGCAGGGGTCACAAAAGGGAGGGAAGGGATATGGCTCTTCCTCGTTCTGACCTTTCTGCCTTTTCAATGCAAAGTGACAAACGGACCCTTGGCTGGGCTCCTAGTTTCATGTCTTCAATGGGTTTCTGATTTGCAATTGTCTTATGTTCTTGAAGTTCTTTGTTTCTCCTTATAAGCCCAGCTGAACAAGCATAAAGTTGACAGACAGTTATTAGCCAATGATCAACCTCTAATTTTAGCAAAGCCTCTCTAACTACCTTTCATTTTAGCAAGGCACATCTATTTTTTTTTTTTAATTAGATTAAGCAAGGCTTATTTTTAATTAAGGCCTCAGTTTCTCTAAAATCTTGAATTCTTCAAAGTTTATGTCTCACAGTGGGCTCCAGCAGTTATCAGGGCCCTGGAGGCACCACAGATCTATGCAAACCCAATTCCAGCAGGAAAAGGCCTGAAGAGAATGGAAGGTGTTCACCTACATGTCCCAGCATACACATCACTATCAGACCTGGCCTCAAATGCAGGTCTCATGGCCCCTGAGCCAGCCCCCGCAGTTAAGTGCGCCAAAGTGGACACAGCACAGACCCACAGGGGAGGGTCAGGCTCATCAGGGACCTAGAAACAGTGTGGGCAGGCCAGAGTGACAGCCTGAGGTGAGCCCTGCAGTTTCCAGGGTAAACTTGGTCCCAGTGGGCCCTGGCACTGCCAGAGCTACCCTGCAACCTGCAGCAGTCTCACAGAAAGCAGGGTGGGGGCCAGAGCTGCTGGCAAGGGCTGGGACAGAGAGAGCTGCCCTGGCTCTGCATGGAGCAGCCTGGAGCGGGAACTGTGACTCTCTTTTTCCTTTGGAAGCCCTCATGGGCTCCACACCCGAGTAAAGGCATGAAATGGGAACCAAGGGCAATTAGCAACCCTCTTCCTGCCCCATCTGGAACTAGTGGCTGCCCTAAGCAGCACCTGGAACAGGCCATGGCAGAGATCCCTCCACCAGGTGCCAGTAAGTGGACTGGGGTCTCCCTTTTGGCTCCGCTCCCAGCAGGGGAGGCTCAGCCTCTGCAGGGTGCAGGTTTCACCCCACAACCGATGGAAGGAGGGTTCCCTAGTCAGCACAGGTTCACTGAGTTGCCATCTCAGCATAGGGCAGAGGGACACTTGCTACACATGCCATGCCACTGAGGTCCCCTGTGACTGACCCTGTGGAAAGGAGCTGCTGCAGAACACCAGCCAGTGTTGCCACCTCTATGGGGCAGCTCTGAGAAAGGTTACTTAAAAGCAAGTAAGAGGTTGTGAATTGCACCAGCACTGCCTTAGCAGTGTGAGCCCCAGCACAGCTTCTGGAGGAATAGACAGATGAAGCTACAGCACTTGGAAGGGGTGCAGGTGGGTTTAAGACCCTGCCCCACAGCAGGGGACAGGGCATCCCCAGTCCCTGGGAAGCCCAGAGGTGATGGGAAAGGACATGGAAACATATCCAGGTGCAGAGCCCCCTGGGCTCTTTGTTTGCTCACCAGATTGCAGCTTCAGCTCCCCCTGCGTTCTGAGAGACAGGACAGTCAGGGACTTCAGGGCTGGCAGCAGTAGATGGGCTGATTTAGGGAGAGAGACAAAAGGATAAATTAAATAGGTCACCCCACTTTATTAGCCCTACAGACAGATAACCCTCATAAAAAGGTTCCGTTCTAATTAAACCTTAGGCAAAACAGGCACTGGACACCAGAGAAGACACCACAAAAAGGATAGCAGAAACTGATGCCCAGGGGACAACTAAAACCCAACTCTTGCGGACAGGGGACATGACGAGCCATGGCCCTGCTGCTCCTCCTCCACCATCCCCCTGGCACTCTACTGATCCCTACTCCAGCTGCAGGCAAAAGGGCAGAGCAGGGATTCATACATTGCAGTGAGCTTTAGCTCAGGATCAACCTCAAAGAGAACTGCTGCATGGGAGAGAGTCCTGACAGATAAGAACAAAAGTGAGAAGAGATTTGGCCTGCATGTGTCAGCTCAGGGCAGAGCCAGCACCTTCTGCCCAGCTCAGTTCAGTGTCACAGCATCATACTTGGAGAATCGGAGCACAAAACAACCCCAGAGAGAAAGGCCTTGGCCCTGGGGGTACAGCGGGCCAGGCTGTGCTACATGGGATCACCAGTGAAAGTACCACGGATACCAAGTAGCAAGCCACAGTCAAATGTCATTCAGCTCTAGCATCATCACTGAGGTGGGAATCCCATCATGATGGGAAGCAGGAGGAGTCCTGAGATGCGCCAGGACTCATCTTAGACCACCACCACCCCTCAAGACACCTGCAGAAGAGTGCAGCTCACAGTCAGGATGTCATCCCTGGCAGTAGCCTCCACAACCACGTGAGGCAGAGCTGCCATTTCTCCATGTGGAGATGTGCACAGGGAAGAGCCTGTTAGCCTCTGCTCTGTCTCACACTCAGTTAAATACAAAACCAAGTTCTAAAGCCCCTCCGCGAGGTCAGGCTGATGTGAGCATCCCCAGGCTACAGAACATCATTTCTCTGACAGTCATGAAAAGAATGTAATCCTGGCAGGTATCAGGAAGTATTTGCCAGGTCAAGCCAAGTAAAGGGCGAGGTGTCTGTCTCAACTTGTCAACAGCCCAAAACAGCAGCTCAGAGGCAGAGGCTATCTTGATTAGGTCTATGGCTCATTCCCTACAGGAACCTGCAGACATGTAAACAGCAACTATGGTATCACTACCACAAACACGACAGAGGGGTTGCCATGAGGACCACCAGTTTGGGCACTACAGGGCCAGGACAGTGTCCCTGGCAGGCAGAACATGGGCAGCAGAGAGGGGCCAGGCATGCCTCCTTGGATTTCCAATCTTAGTCTTCCAACGGCAGGACAAGCATGAGCCTCTAAGGACCAGGCTTGTCTGGAGATGCTGGCTGGAGTGTTGAAGATGCATCACTTTTTCCCATGAGCCCCCAAAATCCAGCCTAAGTCAGCAAGGGCACAGCAGCTCACCCCACACAGGCAGCACAGACAGCAGCCATGTCTCCCACATGCTGGGGGTCACAGGGCTGGGGACAGTGTCCCTGCAACCCATTCAGAGACAGGAAAGGAGCAGCTTGAGAACAGCGTGGCTGATAAACCACCAGCAGGGCAGGGATGCTCCCCAAAAGGGCTCCCAGCTTCCTCCCACAGAGATGCCACCAGCAGCCCCAGATCTTGAGACACAACACCTGGAGCAGTGGGTGTGATTAGTTTGGAACAAGAGTCCCTTGAAAATCCCGAGGAAGTTTGGGGATGGGGTGGGGGAGGCATGTGCTAGATGAAGGTGGAGTCCAGCTGGCTCATCTCATGGTTGTTGTTGGCATGAGCCTCAAAGAGCTGCTTGATCAGGGCAGATTTCTCCTGCTCCAACTGGGTGATGCGCTCACTCTTGTCAGTCACCTCCTGCACAAGATGGGAGGAAAACGCTGGTTAGAGGAGGAAAATGCTGGCAACTGGTGTGTGGCAGGTAAAATTTCATAGAACCACAGAATCATGGGCTTGGGTAGGAGGACATTAAAAAAGCCCATCTCATCCCAGCCCCTAACCATGGGCAGGAACAGCTTCCACTAGAGCCAGTTGCTCCAAGACCTGTCCAACCTGTTCTTGAACACTTCCAGGGATGGGGCAGCTTCTCTAGGCACCCTGTGCCAGGGCCTCACCACCCTCTCAGGGAACAATTTCTTCCCAGTATTCCATCTAACCCTGCCCTCTGGCAGTGGGAAGCCATTCCTCCTTGTTCTGTCCCTCCAGGCCCTTGTCCCAAGGAAGAGCCCCCTGGAAGGGGCTCTAAGATCTCTCCGGAGTCTTCTCTTCTCCAGGTGACCCCCAGCCTGGCTCCAGAGCAGAGGGACTCAAGCCCCCAAAGCATTTTTGTGGCCATATGCCATGACAGAAACCCCAGCAGTGAGCCTGGCCCTAGCAGACCATCACTCCCCTGACAGCCCCCAGCTTCAGTCTCTGCCCTCTCTTGTGACCTCCATTTGTCACAGCCTTTTCCTCTGCCAGGAATGCCCCATCCCTACCACTGACTCACCCAGCAAACAGCTGGAGACAGCTGGGCACAGCTCTATGCCAGAAGGTCTCCACGTGCAGGCCCACACACCCTTCTCTGGGATGACCAAGTCTGGCCAAGCTGAAGGAACACTTCCCACTGCCTGTCATTCCTTCTCTGGCCCCATCCCATCCCCTTCCTTTCCCAGCACGCCCAAGGGCATCTCCTCCACCCCTACCTCCACTCACCTTAGTGAGAAGCCGATTCTGCTCCTTCAGCATGTTGATGGCTTGCTGGGAGCCTGTGGAGGCTGGGGATGTTACAGGCACCAGCCTGCTCAGGGCTGAGGAGGGGTTTGCTGCCTGTAGAGAAGATGAAGGTGTGGTGGCCAGGCCGTGTCCATTGGTCGGACCCAGGATGCCACGACTTTCCCAGAGAGAGCTGTCCCACAAGAGATGGCCTTCGGGGGTCTCTGGCAATCCCTGGCCACTGGGTAACCTTAGCAAGGGGCAGCCTGTGGCTGCAAGCGATTTCAGCTCAGTGATTTCAGCTCTGCTTGCGAGGCTATCCCAGGCCAACTCAGAGATAGAGAGACAGGAGCATCGTATGGCGATTCCACAGAGACATTTTTATTGTCCAGCAGCACTGTGAAGGGTAGCCAGGGACATCAGCTGAACTGGGCAGAAGCTGGGGTTTTTATGGGGGAAAGCCAAGGTGGTATCAGGGGGAAAATCAATGGGTTACAAAGGATCAGCATAGTCACCAAAGTATGGTGGGATAGCTCACCATGACGACAGAAGATGGTCCCATCTAAAGGACCCTCTCCAGGAGAGGGCTGAGATAAGCTTATCACAGCTCCGTCAGGGTACATTCCTCCAAGGGAAAGCCTTGACAGGCTGACCTGCCTCCACACGAAGGGAATGAGACACTGGGCCTCTTATCTTGTGGCCCTTCCGAGCCCTTCTTCAAGGTGAGATGTTTCTATGGCACACAAAGAACTCAAAGAAGCCCAGCAGATGATTAAAATCCCAGCACAGGCCATCACAGGGTTTCCAGCTCACCAGGCAGAATGGGGAAGCATTCCTGCCACTGTGCCTGGCTCCTGCCCAGCATGACAGTCAGCTCTGAAGTGGCTGACTCAGCGCCTCAGGAGGTTAGGCTTCTTATTCCCTTGACAACGGCTGTACCTTTTTGGGCATCTCCTTTAGCCCCCCAAATGCCTTATGCATCCTCCAGCCCACATCAGGACCAGCTGTGCTGTCCTCTTGGCTGTCCTCCATTGCCTTCCCAGAGCTGGGGGAAACTCTGGCAGCTCCAATGTCAGCCCAGCCACCAACATGGGTGGGACAGGATGAATCCTAAGATCACACAAACAACCTGAAGCTACTGATGTGCTGTTCTCACCTTGCCAGCAGTGGAAAGAAGGTCACCCAGGCAGCGGTTCACCTCCTGAAGCTTGGGCACCAGGCGCCCCAGGTGACTCTGGCCACCCTCAGCGAAATCCTGCAGGATGGGTTAGAAGAGGCTGGAGGTTACCATAGGGTCAGCTCCAGGTCCAGCTATCTCCCAGCCCTGTTCTCCAAACCCACACGCAGCCAGAAGAAGGCCCAGACTCACAGCACTGGTCCTCTTCTTCCCCAGGAGCCGCTGGTGCTCCTGCATGAGCTGGATGTGCTGGCAGTACCACGCTCGAGCCCGGTCTATAAGCTCCAGGCCCTGCAACAGGACATCCTTCTCCTGTTCCAGCTCCTTCATGTACTTCAGCTGCAAGACAGAGCACAGGGATGTCACCCACTCCCCACCAAGGCTTTGTCAAGTCCCAGGAGTAGGTTTCTTCATGAGGTGTGGGGGGATGTGGATACAGGCAAGGGTCTCAGCCCCTTTCCCCATGAAAGGCTACAGAGGGGCAGGATAACGACTGCTGCCTGATGCTGCTTTGGAGAAAGACTTTTGGAAGAAAAGTTCTCCAGTTTGGAGAACAACCAAACTGTGTGAAAGACACTTGGGTCACCTCTACCCTCCTGCTCAGCATTGCAGGTGCAGGTTTCTTCACCTATTTACCCAGGAATGCAGCAGGAGCATGCCCACAGCTGCCCCCCGCTCCCTTTGGGGTGTGTCAGCCCCAGAACAAACATACTTGGATTTTGGTGAGCACTGAACAGACCCCTCCATCCTGGGCTGCCTGAATAAATTCAATGTGGATTTCTCTGCTTTGCTAGCAAAAAGTCTGTCAGAAGCCGAGAGGACCTGCATGTTTGAGCCCTGATCTGCATGGAACATCTGGGAGGGGACCTAGCCTTGCCCCACTGCTTGCCAGCACAAAGCATACCTGACCCTCACTGGTGTGCTCTTAAGGCCCAGAGATACATCTGTTCCCACACCTCCACCTTTGTCTTCCTCTTCCCAAGACCTTGCCCATTGGGAAGGCAGCCAGTACACTGGCTTCGTGGCCTGACCCCACTCTGGGGGAAGGCATCCACCTCCTCCCTGTCTGGCACAATTCAGGAAAGAAAGCACCTTGGAAATAATGGCAAAACATCCACATACATCAACAGACCTTCATATCCAAAATATCAGGATTTGCCCGACAACTCACAGCTCACATGTGCAGGGTGGGCAGAGAAGAAGCCAAAGCCCAGAGATTAAGTCATCAGTGAGGGAACCCTGTAATCTACCTTCCCCCTCATGGGAGCCCACAACACTCCCTTACCATGCTGAAGTCCACACCATTGGTGATGGTGTGTCTCCGGTGTTCTGCACGGCCTCTCTGATGCCTCCGAGTGTCCCCAGCCTCTGGGTGGCCACTGTCTCCCTGGAACTGCCCTGCAGACTTTGCATCATCACCTGGAACAGAGGAAAGCATGAGGCCACAAGCTACTTTCAGCAAAATCCTCCCCACAGCCACTTCTGTGAGATGATCTGCAGGGTGGTCTTGCAAACAGGGAGAGACTGAGCAAACCACCAGCCTACTTCTGTTTTTGTCCAGGCAGGACAGGTGTCAGGAATGACTGACTCAGCTGTGCCAGGCCAGCAAGAGACCTCAATGTCATCTTCTGTAGAAAGCAAGCAGTTTCCAGGAAAAGCTGGTCCAGTCCCACCTGGGGCAACGAAACCATTAGTGATATTGACTGCCTTCACGTGTCTTCATGGGACACCCGGCTTCCACTCAGGTGGCACCAGCTGTGCCAGGAAGCCAACTTCTCCAGAAGGCAGCTCCTGCTTGGTGATGGACTTGGCCATGTGGATATCCAGCCCAGACACTATGTCTATGATGTAACCATAAAGTAAATCAAGCTGTAGATTTTCCAAAATTTTATTAAAACCCAAACATCCTATCCTGCAAAAGACTAATCTACTACAAACACATAGCGCTGATGTAAATCCATGGATAACCTATTTTTGAAGATTAAGTTCATACTGGCAGGTTCCAGGCTGGATCAGGCACCTCCTGCCTATCAGCCAGGGCATGAATTCCCTGGGCACTTGCAGTGAAGTCTGTACAAGCCCCACACTGCCTGCCCTCACCAGAAACCCAGCCCTGCAGTCACAGCTGAGCCAGCTCTGATCCACTGCTAGCCGAGCTGGTAGAGCAGCACCCTGACACCCCACCGTCCCAAATCACAGCATCAGGGCAGCCAAGGGTGCAGCCAGCACATCCCCAGGCAAGTCTGGGCAGCAGCCTGCTTCTCCTCCCATCCTGCCCCAGACCCCAGCCAAGTGCCCAGCACACCCTGTCTCGTGCCACCCCCTCAGTCCTACAGCTCGCCTGCTCCCTGCACACTTGAGGTTTCCTCAAGAGTTCCTTTCCTAACCTGGCTTTTCAAGAAGAGCAGTAGGGAGCTGGCAAGTGATGGCAGGCAGCTGGGGAAAACACCCTCTTCCCAGGACAGTTCCCCATGCGTCTGCCAGGCACTCCCATCCCTCGCACATCCTTCTACCAGAGCTGCCTGGCACAGGTCTGGCACATTCCCTGCTGCAGGCACATGAATGGCCGTGAATGCCAGTACAGGGTGTGTGGCACCACATGGGCTGGCATGTTTCTTCCCTCTGCTCCACAAGTTTCCTCAGCTGAGCACATGAACATGACGGAGGAAGGATATGAGGCAGGAGAGGGCAGCCACGGCCACAGGAGCCACCCTTCATCTTGAAGGTACAAGGTGTGGGAGTCCTATAGCAGGGCTGCCTGTGCTGCCACAGTCACACTGGTGCAGGGATAGGAGACAGGCTCAGCTGGCAGCAGGCAATGCTACACCTCAGTTTGTCACTTTGTATCACTGGGGAAAGAAGCCACTATGCCATGGGAAAAGTCCTCCTTCTAGTCCATCACAGTATCTCACTCAACTTCCCAACAAATACTCTGGCACAGACAGGTCTCCAGCACATCAGCAAACACAGTCTTTGATATCACCCATCCATCTGCTTTGCCAACTCCCTTTGGTTTCATGTACCAAAATCTACCTGGGAGGAACCCAGCAGGACTGGTGTCACCACACGTGTTGTCCTGGCAGACCTGTAGTATATCCTGCTTGAAAAGCTGAGGAACAGCCCCAAAACCAAGGATACTCCTAACAGTCAGAATCCCAAGGCAATGCCAGGAGCACTTCTGGTCAGAGCTGTGGGACAAACGTGTTAGAAAACTTTTTGCTGCAGTAACCTAGAAGTGCTGGGTTGAGCTGAGCTGCACCTGTGATAAGCAGGAGCTCTTGGTCAACCAGCTGAGCTCTGCACACCTGAGCTGACAAGGTAGTGGCTAAAACAGGACCCCTGCTAATGAGCTAGGAGAGTTCTTCTTAGGGAAGGAACAGGATAAGCTCACTAGAGGTGGAAGAGATCCCGCCATGAGATAATGGAGAAGCTCCTTCCTCCCTCTGGGACCCTCTCTGCCCAGGACAAGCAGACACCTCATGGTTGTTTTATACTTCTCCACAACTATCCTTGGCAATGGCCCAGACAAGCCCCTACAAACCATCCTCTCCCTCCTGCTAGTGCCAACAACTCTCCAGAGGCTAGGGCCAAGCCACCCCTGGAGCAAGGGAAAGCACTGTGCTGGGGAGAAGCCAGTGCCCCAGGCCACAACACACTTCCAGGGCTTTCTGCTCTGTGCTTTGACTTCTCCAGGTCCCAGCTCACAGGGGTACTACTGGGGTTAAGAACCCCAAGAACAATGCGCTCAGACACTGCTGTGACAAAACACCAGAAGAAGGGACATCATTGTGGTGACTTCCCTGCCCTGTGACTTCTCCAATATCCACCTCATCATCCTTGTGTCCAGTGTTGGCACTGTTGGCTCCCCAGGGACCATGGGGTGCCAAGCAGAAGCTTGCACTCTGCACCAGCACTGCTGGGCTGAGGAGAAGCTGGAAGCCGACTTAAGCAGGGACCTCAGAAGCACTTCAGCCCACACGCTAGCAGTGGCTAGTGTGTGAGAGGGGACAGAACTGTTGTCCCACTGGCTCCCTGCACCCCTGGACGTTCCAGGAGAACCACCTGGCCCCAACCTCTGCCATTTTGCCATGAGTCACATCCAAATCACCTCTGACATGTGTAGATGCTCCTCAGACCATAAAGCAGAGCTGGGCAGGCACCCTGTGAGAGCACCCTCTTCCCACAAAACACAGGGAGGGAACATTTCCTCCGACTCATTGCAGCTTATGAGCACTGATACATCTTCTCACTGCATTTGGTTGGGGTCTTACAGAAGCTACCACATGCAGCTGGAGGCTCAGAGCAGCCTCACACCAAAATGATATACCCTTAGTGGAGACAGGTCTTCCTGGAGCCACAGTCAGTTCCCAGCACCCACCACACATCTCCGCAGCAAGGACGGAGCTATATCCTGCCATGACGCTGCCTAAGTCCCTTGCAGCCAGCTGAGAACATCCACCTGTTCAACTGCACCTTGGGACACCATCTGTGGAGGGGCGCACTGGGCAGGATCACGAGCTAAAAGAGATGGAATAACTGAGTTGTACTATTTTCTGAACTGCTGAATGAACCTGAAACTCAGGCCTCTTGCCAAAATACAGCCCTGCAGCGTGGGATGCTAGCAGCAAGGGCTGAGGCTCTAACCCTGCCTGCAAGCTCTGGACAGTTACAGAACATCACCCGGTAATGGAAAGATCCTCAGCAAGCAGAAAGCTGCTTGTTTCTTCCCAGGGCAGAGATTTCAATCTGCTGTCTATTCAACAAACAGGATTTTTTTCAGGTTTTTCCAGATTTACACTCTTGATGATAGAATAGTCTGCTTAATAGTTCCCTTAGATGAAGCTCTGGTGGTTAGTCTGGAGTCAAAATGGAAAGCAGAGAACCTCAGACACAGTTAAAAGTTTCTTCTCCACCCAGCAGAACAGACTGGGAGGGAGTGGTTGGGAAGGGAAGGCAAACCAGCCTGACCTTCCCGAGGTGGAGGAAGTCATTGCACTCAAGTGGTGCAATAATAAGTACCAGTTCCTCACACAGACTTTGTCTCAAAAGCACTTCACAAACCTAGATAAAGAATTATTACCTACCCAGATAAGCCCAGAAACCTGGTTTCCTTATAGCATATTCTACTGACTAGCACCAAATCAAGATGCCAGTGAAACTGGCATGTCTCCTCCATGTTAAGGTCAGTGTACCACCCCGGAGGGCTCTGGCAGAGCCAGCACAGGGAGCCCAGATCCCAAGGAAAGGGCAGAGTCCACAGGGATGTGCAGGAGAGCTCTATGGACAGAACCTGGGACAGCAGAGCACATCACCCTGGCACTGCTCTCCCATTTATTAATTGATTAATTATTTGTTATTTGGAATAGCGCTGTGGAATGATCAAAACCAAAAAGCTAGATCAGGTTTTGCATTTTGTATTTGTCCAAACCATGCATGACATCGTGCAGGAATCATTCCTGAGGGCCAGCCCGGCGCAGAGCCCACCGAGCACACGGCCGCTCTGTGACCGCAGCTTCACCCCAGCGAAGCTGCTCGGCTTTGGGGGTCCCCAGGGCCCAGCCATTCTCCGAGACTCCCAGCTGTGCTACCCATCCCTGGAGAAGGTCAGGACAATCACGGACACATTACGGCAAAGCCCTTAATTCCTCCTGTCAGCGCTATAAATAGCCCAGCGCATCGCGAGGGGGGCACAGACCTGGGCGGGCGGCGGCGCTGGGATAGTCACACCTGGATCGGAGTTCAGCGAACCCAAACCAGGACGAACAGTAACTCTGGGGGAGTTCTACACCGGCCCTGAGGGAACGCTGGCTCTGAACCCAGAGGAGGGCACAGGGGAGCGGGGCGGACCGCGGGATCCCATCCCGACCTCCGAGCGCCGGTCCCCGTCCCGGGCGCTGCCATCACCCCCGCGAGCTCGAAGCCCCCAGCCCAGTACCGTCACTCACCGCGGCCTCGGGGCTGGCCCTGCCCCGGTTCCCGCTGCCCGGCGCTCTTCCCCCGCCGCTCTTCGGAACAGCGAGGGCTTGGTGGCTTCTCTACGCTCCGCCGTCCGCCGCTGACACCCTCCATCGGGGGCTCAGCCCCAGGCAGAGCCGCCCGCAGCCCCAGGACGAACCTCTCGAAGGTGAGGTACCCGCTGGCCGGCGCCGCCTGCCGCAACCCCTCCATCACACCGGCAGGCAGCTCCTGGGCTTCCGCTCCCCGCCAGCGCGACTCGATCTCCCGCAGGTGCACGTAACCCCGCCGCCGGTCATCCAGGATATCGAAAAGAGTCCGCAGGCTCTGCAGGAAAACCCGGGGAAGACCCTCGGTACCGCCGGGGAGCGAGCGGTCACCGCGCTCCGGGGCCATCGCCGCCGCTCCGAGCGTTACTCCAACGCCCGCCCCCCCGCGCCTATTTGCTGGCGGCGGGGAGTGCCGCCTTCCCATTGGCTGGCGACGGGCGGGCTCTCCGGCCATTGGCTGAGAGGTAGCACGGCAATTTGAGTTGCATGCGGCGCCCGCCCCGGCCTGGGCCCGCGGGGGTCCCGCTCCTCTCGCGGGGGGAGCCCGACCCTCCCCTGCGGACGACGGACCGCGACAAACGCCAGACCCTTCCTCCGTCTTGCCCCCGCTTTATATACTGAGCATGATGTCGTATGGTCCAAAATATCTCTTATATCTCTTGGGTCCGTTGGGGTCAGCTGTCCTGGCTGAGTATCCCCCGAACTCCTTTATGCACCCCTATCCCTCTCCCTAGTGGAGTGGGGTGAAAAGCAGAAAAGACCGTGGGTCTGTATAAGCACCATTCAGCAATAAGAAAATTATCTCCATGTTGTCAACACCATTATTTTGGTCTCCGTATTTTCAGTGCAAATCCAAAACCTGTCCCCGTAAGAGCTACTGTGAAGAAAATTAACCCAGCCAAAACCAGCACAATTTCTAACGACTTCTGAGCCGATGTGATTAGTGAACAGGGACAAGGAAAATCCCAACGATGGCATTCACTCTTACTTGCCACCTTTGCAAATGCACCCAAGAAGTGCAGCATCCCTACAGGAGGGGGAGCAGAGCACCAGAACGAAGGAGTCTTGGGGGGTGTACTTGTCTGATGCCATGGGGGAAAGAAATGCTGACAGAAGGAATAGAATCCCATCCTCCCAGTGCTGTGGCTGGTAAGGCACCAGTGGCCAGCAGCCAGCAGGAGATGTGGTAGGAGCCCTATTGAACCACAGACATAACAGAGGGGAAAACCCAGCAGTGTTGACAAAAATGAAAGAAACAGGATTTGGATCTTATCTTTTACAAAGTTAATATGCACTGGCATTGGTGAGAGAATGGGTTTCTGTGTTTTACAGGGAAATTTGTTGTGATTTACCAAAATATGGATACGATCTAGTATCAATACCCAACTGAGACAGACAAAGACTCTTTAACCATTTTAGGGTTAAAAAGTGTGTTTATTAGCAGCTCTGGGCCAGTGCTGGGTCTCCCCTTAATACGCACGGCCCCAAATACAGGTGAATACAGGCTTTTTATTTACAAAAATATTAAATACAAATGCATATTCATAACCCAGTTGCCACCCACTCTCTGCTTCTTATGCTAATTTTAAAAAAAAAAACAGGCATACATAGTTTTTTCTTTGAAATGGGTCAGTGGTCTTATTAGGAGCAGGGGTCACAAAAAGGAGGGAAGGGATATGGCTCTTCCTTGTTCTGACCTTTCTGCCTTTTCAATGCAAAGTGACAAACGGACCCTTGGCTGGGTTTCATGTCTTCAATGGGTTTCTGATTTGCAATTGTCTTATGTTCTTGAAGTTCTTTACCAGACTCTTTGTTTCTCCTTATAAGCCCAGCTGAACAAGCATAATTAGTTATTAGCCCATGATTAACCTCTAATTTTAGCAAAGCCTCTCTAACTACCTTTCATTTTAGCAAGGCACATCTATTTTTTTTTTTTAATTAGATTAAGCAAGGCTTATTTTTAATTAAGGTCTCAGCTTCTCTAAAATCTTAAATTCTTCAAAGTTTATGTCTCAACTGTGTGAAGCTGTGGTTACACTGGGAGCAGCTGGAGACAGCTCTGCTGTCCCCAGCCAGGACAGCTCCTGCCAACCCACCTCATCACCCCAAAGCCCTCCACACTGGAGTTTGTCACATGCAGGTGCAACACCATGGGGTCAACATGGGGCATTTATGGTGAGCACCAGGGTGACATTGCATGGGGGGTCCCTGCTGCCAGAGCCTGAAGCTATTATCTGAGCAGAGTGAGCCTTCTTCTGAGCTCAGTCTGGAGGTGTACCTGGCCCCTGCGCTGCCCAGGGATGCAAGATCTCATCCTCTGTGTCCCCAGCTGTGCAGTTTGGGAAGGATCCAGTTATCCAGGTTTATCTAGTCATAGTTACTCTTTTGTCCTGCCCAGCTACATGCCCTTTACATGCCCTCTGAGCCTGGGCTCCATGCCCAGCTGCCCCTTTAGAGAAGGGCTGCTGTCCCAGCAGAGCAATCATCCTACATTCTACCAGGAACAGCTGCATCTTGGGCCCCTGATCCAAACATTCTGTCTTTTTTGCTTTTTTTCCCTGCCATACAGTCTGCATTGCTGGGCTACCACAGTCTCTGGTGCCCTGGGCCTGCAGCCCTCCCACTCTGCACCTCCTGGCCTGCTGTTGTCAGTGCAACTCCCTGGGAAGCAAACTGAGGATGTGATGACCTGAAGAAGACCCTGGGTCCTGGGGATGGGGAGCTGGGCCATGCAGGGCTGACTGGACTAAGGAGGTGCCTGTTATATCTCAGACCTGCAAGTGGGTGCTGATCATCCCTGTGATCTCCCAGCTAGAGTGTTCTCCCATCCCAGACCATCCCCTTGTGTTGCTGCAGCCTTGCTTGTATCCTAGGCTCTTGCTTGTATCCCAGGTTCCAGAATGCCAGTGCTATTCTCCTCTCAGCACGGATAAACTGCCTCCTGCCTTAGGAGGGTCACCTGGCACTACCCAGTGCTCCCTGTTCTCCCCTCCCTGCCTGTGGCTGATATTTGCAGCACTGTGAGCAAAGGCCCACTCCTAGGTGGAAAGGAGAGGTCTGCCCTCCCCACTGCAAGATATGATGGAGGCTGAGCCTCTGCTCACCAGCATAGTTCATTTCTGGGGGACACTTCCCATCCTAAGGGGATCAAGCACAGCATCCAGGCTCTGTTTCAGTGTCCCATCAGGTCTCTGCCAGAGCCAATGACTCACTGTGGCTGTGATCCCAGCCTGCTCACCTCTGTCTGCACAGCCACCCTGCTCTGTTCCAAGGTACAACTGATTGAAGGCAGATGCTCCCTCCAGGAGACCCATGTGATGGGGAAGAATGAGGCTCCCAGAATCCCTGCTTTGCTCTGCAGCTGCATACCGCAGGGACCATGACTTAAACTCCCCCACATTACACAAAGAGGCAGCAGCACACAGAAGATACCCAGCCCCGGAAAAGCAGCTGTCAGGGAGCAGAGCAGGGGCTGAGGTCTTGGCCCGCACCCTGGAGGAACACATTGCACTGTGTGGGTTCCCTCAGAGCCAAAGCATCCCTTTGTGGGACACCCATGTGGCAGTGGGTGCAGACAGTAGAGGTAGAGGTGACCCCATCCCCCTGCTGTGGTTCTGCATGGTGAAATTCATCCTGCACCAGCCTGGGAAAAACAGGCTAGGGATAAAATTAGCTAAAGTTTTTATTACTGGGATTTTATTTTTAAAAGCAATGGAAAGTACACCACTGGTGGGAAAATCCCGGAGGTCTGGGCCAGCCTGTGGGATAGCAGTATGCCTCTGCTCTGTGGTGGATATCTTGCACACCCCAGGAGGGATGTGAGATGGGAGTTAGCTGTAGGAACAATCAGCATGGCAGCAAGGACCATGAGAGGGCTGATCCTGCCCCCCGGGATGCACCAGGATGATGCAGTGGCACGCACATGGGGCAGCTGGGACAGCTGAGCCCTGCCAGGAGGCATCACATAGCCGTAGGGCCCCTGGGAAACTCTGGTGGGAAGGAGCCTTCCTGTCTAAGCAGTACTGGTCCCTCCAGCCAGAGAAGATACAACTGGGGGGTCTACAAACTCAGACAGTCCTGGAGAGATTGGAGAGGGATGGAGCCACCAGCTCTTCCAGTGAAAGTAGAAGCCAGATCCAACCCATCCTAAAGCAGGCAGTTCCCAGTGCTGGGGTGTAGCAGTTCCCTGATAAGGGATGGTGCTTCTGGATGTTTGCCTGCAATGCAACAGGGATTTTGACAAGTACAGAAAGAAGGGATCTAGTGAAGGGTGAAAATCAGAAAATCATGGCTGGCTCAGGACACCCCCCCAGCTGAAGACAGCGGGAGACAGAGAGAGGGCTTGTCATGTGTTGTGCCAGGCTGCAGAAACAGGGCTGTCAGCCTGAGGGGCTGCCCTGTACCTCGATACTTCTTGGCCCTCTGTCCTGGCAGGAGAGGGCTCCTGGCAAGACAACCAGGAGAAACCAGTGGGGCTTTTCTGGAAAAGCTACCTACTTCCTGGCTGGTTCAATGCCAGGACGACAGGGATCCCTGCACATGGACCCCCTCAGGGCTTGCATCAAACAGACACTGTCCTGGGAAACAGGAGACAAAAAGGGGTTTAGAAAGTGAGGCAAGAATAGAGATTTGTACTTGGTTTTGATTTTCCTTCCAGGCAAGGATTCTTGCCAGGACGGAGATTATAGCCTTGGATACACCAAGATCCTTCCAGACCTTCAACGCCTCTAAGAGGACAAGATCTGGGCTTGGAGCTGAGGCTGGAATACATCAGTGGGCTCCCACTCACAGGGTGCAGAGGCTCAGCAGGAGCTGCACTCAGTCAGGAGCTCACTCCTGACTGAGGGAGACTATTTAATTCCCTTATTTTTTTACTATACCAGTGTAAACACTGGTTGGATTTGTAGCTTCACTGGCCACAGACTCAAAAACACCCCAAAATGCCTCATATGTGTGTGCGGAGGCCTTAGTGCTGGGACTGGTGTGGGCATCCCTAGAAATTCTTGACAGGTCCTTGCTTCCATTCCAGTCCTGTCTGACTCCAACTTTGTGCAGGTGGAGATGTGAGTAAGTGCACCCTGAGCAAAGGTGAACCTGGCTTCAGGTTCACACATCTCTGATGGAATGTGGGATACACCCAACAGCAGGACAGGCAGCTGGGAGGTTTCCTGATACCCCACACAGTATTGGGATCCCTCCATGCAAGGCAACAAGATACTGGGGAGAGAGTCAGCCCCAGCAGCTGGGGAAGCCTAGACATCCAAGTCTTTTGCTTGGTGCAGGACTCACCCTGCCTGGAGGTCCCTGAGGAAGAGGCATTTCTGGGCTTGCATGGGTCTGCATTGG